TATAGATCTAAGTAGTAATCTTATAAGGAGTTAATAAGTTATAGCTAATAAAGTAATTAAGGTATTAATTATAGGTTAGTATAGGTATTATAATAGTAAGCTAAAAGTTAAAAAAGATACTAAGAGGTATATATAAGTAAAGTTTTAAGGCGTAGAAGTAGGTATAGTAGTAGTAGTAGTAGTAATAGTAATAGTAATATTACTAATAATATTAAAAAAGAGTTATTTTTAAGGGCTAGTAAAGAGGTTAAAAATAGGCTTTTTTTAAGCTTTAATAAAGAGACTAAAAATATATTAATTAGGCTTAATAGCTAAAAGTATATTTTAGCTTTATAGTAGTATATATTAAAAAAAATAAGTATTATAAAATACTTATTAGATAAAAATTACTTTACTAGTATCTATTAGTACTTATATAATTAAGTAGTATAATTCCTAATTTTATTTAATAAAGTATAAAGTTATAGGTTTAAATCCTACTATAGGTCTTTATATTATTAATAGTAAGTTTTTTTAAATATAGTTAATAATATATTTTTATTTTTTTTAAAAATCTTTTAAAAATTCTAATTAATCTAGAGATTAGATTTTCTTTTTTTTAGCTAACTTTAGATTAATTAAAATATCTAAAATGAGGGTATTATCGTTTTAGTTAATTAACTACGAAAAAAGCCCTCTTTTAATTAGCTAATTAGTTGAATTAATTGAATAGGATTAAATAGGGTGCTATACTGGAGCCTAGCATGTCGGAGTGGGCAGGACCGACAGATCATGGGACGAACTCTACTGCCGAGGGCATCGTCAACTTCCCCAGGTCCTCGGAGCACAGTCGCCCGACGCTAGGTTCCAGGTCCACGGCAACGCCAACCTCCACTTTCCCCAGTTTCCCCGGCCAATATCGGGACTCCAGAATGTGGTTGCACATTGTGGGGTGGTTTACGGAACGAATTCTCCGATGCGGACTTCCTTATTATGAGAAGATGCGCCCAGGTGTCTGCTGAAGATCTTGATCAGATGATTGGAACCACCCGACGATTCGACTTCATCCCATCCCTTCAAATCTTGCCTTCATCTTTTGCACATGCTGCCAAGCCTAACGTTTATACGAGACGCGTATTAGCTACGAAGCACTCAATATGGAGGTTTCATATGGCGAAGCCGGTAAGTCAACTGCCACCGAGCTGGTCGAACCTGAATTCTAAACGGTTTCCTAGGCTATAAGGGGCTGTTTCGGCAGCCGTACATCTTCTTTCTAGCATGCTTCGCTAGTATTGGAGGTGTCCTGTTCGGGTAGGATGGTACCAGGCCAGGCCTATGAAGCATGCTCACATCACTTCTAGATATGATCAAGGCGTTATCAGTGGCGTTCTGGTCATGAACAACTTCGTACGCCCTCCTTTTCCACAACCTAGGAGCATCGACTCTAACAGGTAAATAGGGTAAACAGTTCCCGACCTTGGCAAACGACGCCACTCTTCAAGGATGGATGGTAGCTGTCCTTACTCTCGGAGCGATGGTTGGAGCCTTGGTCAACGGCCCGATTGCCGATGCTCTTTCCAGACGATGGACTATCCTCCTAGCGAACGTCATATTTCTCATCGGTTCGATCATACAAGCGGCAGCCATCAATGTTCCTATGATCTTTGTCGGTCGCTTCATCGCCGGCTTGTCCATTGGTCAGCTTTCGATGGTGGTTCCACTATACCTGAGTGAACTAGCTCCTCCCAACCTACGCGGCAGTCTTGTCGCGCTTCAGCAACTTGGTATCACCGTGGGCATCATGATTGCCTTCTGGCTGGATTGTGCGTATGGGACAAACGAGACATCTTACCAAGCTAACGTGAAGCAGATGGAACTCAGCATATCGGCGGGACTGGAGACAACCAGTCTCCCGTAGCGTGGCGCCTGCCCCTGGCCCTCCAATGCGTGCCTTCACTAGTGCTGGCAGTGGGCACATTCTTTCTGCCCTACACACCGCGTTGGCTGTTGATGAAGGGTAATTACCATCTGTATATTGCCATCAATGGAGGTTGCTAATGATGCGTTTGCAGATCGCGAGGAAGAAGCCTTAGCAACTCTGATCCGCGTCCGCCGTGTACCCTCCGACGACCCTCGTCTCAGACTTGAACTCCTTGAGATCATGGCGGCCGCTCAATTCGATCGTGAAACTACGAAGGCGATGTACCCAGGCGTCACTTCCCGCTTACACCTCACTATCCAGCGATACAAGTCTCTGTTCGTTGTGCGGCATCTCAACCGTCGCCTGCTCATTGCTGCGCTTCTCCAGATAATCCAACAATTTACTGGAATCAACGCTATCATCTACTACGCCCCGAAGATCTTCAAGAACATTGGACTGTCAGGTAACTCCGTTGATCTACTTGCGACAGGCGTGGTGGGTGTGATCAACTTCTTCTCCACGATCCCAGCTATCATGTTCATGGATTGGTGGGGCCGCAAGAAGGTGCTGATCATTGGCGGCATCGGTATGGGTGTCTCCCAACTAATCGTTGGCACATTGTACGCGGTTTACAAGGACTCTTGGGCGAGCAATAAGTCTGCTGGTTGGGCTGCTGCAGTCTTTGTGTGGACTTACATCGCCAACTTTGCATTCAGTATTGGATGCGTCAACTGGATTGTGCCATCCGAAAATTTTCCTCCTGGCGTCCGGTCCCAAGCGGTGGGCCTAGCCATTGGAACGAACTGGCTGAGCAACGTAAGTTCCCTTGACTGAGACGACATTGAATGATATCTGACGTCGAATCTTTAGTTCATTGTGGCCCTGATCACCCCAAGAATGCTGGAAGCTATCACATTCGGCACGTTCTACTTCTTCCTCGGTAAGTCATGTAACTTTTGTTCCGTTCCAGACATTATTTGTGCTAACCACTGTGCACAGCTTTCTGCGTTCTGCTGATCGTCTGGGTATACTTCTTCGTTCCAGAAACCAAGGGCGTCCGCATTGAGGAGATGGACAAACTCTTTGGTGGCAATCAAGGAGAGGAAGATATGCGCCGTATGGAGGCAATCAGACAAGGATTAGGTATTACTCCCGGGGGCAGTGGCCTTGCCAAGAAAGAAGCCGATGTCGGTGTCAGCGAGGTGGAAAAGGTATAGATGAAATTCATGGACGTCGTCGGTGTATAAGACTGAACAATGTCTGGGAAGCTTTATAGTCGGCCATTTTTACGAGATTTTGGTTCTTTCTGACCCATCCTGAGTTTTGGTCATGCGCTGCTGCGACCGAGCCGTTTTCGTGAGCCGATGGCTGATACCTGCCAAGTATTTCTACTGAAACATTCGGGAAATGTGCAAGTCATGAATTAGAAAACCAAAATGTGCTGATGACGTTGAAAGATTTATCCAGCTTGAGCAAGCTGGTCGTGGAGGAGGGAGAAGAGTCTTGGCGCGGGCGTTTAAGCCCAGGGCTTTGAATCCATCACGCCAGGTAGTCGACTTGGCGATCTCGCCGGTCAGCATCAGGACAAGGTGTCTGGAGTACTTAGGATTATCTTACCGTGATTATGGTACTTCGTAGGTCCAAAAGAGGAAGGCCATCCAAACACATAATTTCTGACACTCTGTTAGACTAGCGGCCCACGTAATTAGGGTGTCTGATCAATCCTTCGCCTTTCGGCAAGAACACTCACGTTCCAGATATTGATCTGGCCCATTGATCGGAAGGAAGGGCCAAGGTGAAGCCAACTCGTATCGGCGTGCGACACAGACATTGTACCACGAAGGATTCACGTCAGTCCTCATGTCTTGCTGCTTCGGTATTGTCCACGTTAGAGGAGCGTGACAGGATTAAACCGGGCATTCGTATTGCGGTAAGAAAATCGACCGAAGGAAGGATGACTACTATGTAAATTTGGCGACACACGATGCAGAGTTACGCTATAAAAAGGGCCGAGCCTCGTTGAGCAGATGTACCACCTTAATACCATTCCCAACACTCAAAATCAAAACAGAGTATTCATCCCACAGGCAAAATGAGACTTACTACCATCTTTTCTTTTCTCGCAGCTGCTGTTGCCACCGTCAACTCCATGGCAACGACCGCAGACCGCAACCTAGCCAGAGGTTTTGTAAGTCGAACCCGCGCAAGGAGCCCGCGCCATGATTTCGTCGGAATCAACTGACGCTGCTTGATCAGATTGAGGCCCGCTGTCACTGCGACGGCACCTGCTGCAACGGCTATTGGTGCACTGATGACGACGTTGGACAATGCTGCGATGGAGTGCCCTGCTAGACTGAGATTTGGATCCAGCACGGCCAGTTGAAGGCTATGTCGGGGAAAGACTAGGAGAATGCATTGTCGCGAGACGTGGAGATATGAAGGCTAGGAGCATTTGCGCACGCCAGATACAAGAAACCTTATGTTGACTATCGGTTCCAACTAGAAGGTTTTCTCGGTTATTGGGTCTTCAACACCTTTCGGGGACATAAGACTCGGTGTCTTCTTTCCGCTCTGAGCCAATGGTGACGCTGCAATGCTCCACACCTTGGCTCAGCCCTGTAGTATCTGGGCGCAATTGAGACCAGGCAGAAATTAAATCTTGGCCCTTCGAAGCTGTTTCAGACTCTAAGCAGCAGAGTGCCTCCCGGTTTAAGGAGATGTCGTACCTCTCCCAAGGCCTTAATTTGATTAGAGTTCAGGTATTGATCGATGTAAACACGGCCCCGTTCGGATGATATGATTACATCTTGGATTCCCTGGCTACGAGCTCCCCTAACAAGTCTAAGTCAGCGGTCAAACCTCACCTCGGAAGAACCGATTTGCACGGAGTAGTCCGTTAGGAACCCTAAAAACTGGCCGGCGGAGTACGTCGGACGACTGATTCAGCTTTGTAACTCCCCCCACCTCGGGAGCTAGGCGTCTGTATGCAATAGAAGTACGCCTGTGCACAGTTCTACACTGCATTCTTTCTCTAAACGTCGCGTCTGTAGGCGAGGGGTTCTCCATCGGGAGATGCTGCTACTATGGAAGACTCCCGCGGGCGTCAACTTCGCATCGACCCCACGGGCACGAGTCATCGCAACTAAGTTCCGGCTGGGGGGAGCTGCGCAGAGATGCCAAGATGGAAAAATAAATCATCGTAATTACCCTAATCAAATTGAGATCGTCTCATGTACCGGACCCAACACCATGGCTATGGAATCCTGTCGGGCGCGAAGACAAGGCGTGTACAGGTTGGTATAAAAGGATTGCAACATGGCGAGGCAAAATGGCATCAGAACTCAACAGAACTTCTACAACTATCAGCAGGATTCAACTGTACGATCGCTTGATACCCATCTTTACGCACCTCAACCAGACACCCTTCAATATGCAGTTGTCTCTGATCTCCGTCCTCTCACTTGCCGCCCTGGCTCTTGCTGCCCCGGCCCCTGAGCCTCAGAGCAATGTCGCGCCCACATGCAGCAGCCCCAACGACTGCAGGAGCTTCTGCACGGCTCCTTGCACTAACCCTTTCTGCGGCCTCTCTGCCTTTGGGTAAGTCGAAATAAAATTCCTAATCTGGCTAAGAGCGACACAAGTCATTTGCTGCACCGGCCTGGGGAAAGATGATACTAACCACGTCGTAAAATAGTGACCAGCGCTGCTTCTGCGGATGCTAGATCGGAGCGAACATCACTTGACGCGAGGGAACCGTTGCTTGACGCACGATTGTGAGGGAATGGCATGCATGATAAGCTGCTGGGGGTCCCGGATCTGACCTTGTCCTGTATAGGTACTTCAATACAGCCTTTGAAACACTTTGAAAATCTTCTCGCGGCCACATCCAAATATGAAGACCAGAATGAGGTTGTATGTTGATATCTGTTAAAGATCAGCCGACGCCGTTACGATAACGAGGAGGGTAACATACCTCACTAATGCTCTCAAAGCGACGCCGTCGGCAGCCCGATACTATCCGGAGCGTAACGCAATGTCCAATTCCCAGACTCCCACACATCCCAGTGCTTCTTATTACCAGCATCTCCACTCAATCTCAGCGCCCGGACACGCCAGAAGTATCGGCCGGGCGGTACATACTTCCGATCCTCCTGCGATCCGTCCCAGACCCACCATGCCGATGGCTCCGTGTACCTCTCCGCGGTACCTACAAATGTCCTCGGGAGGATGGCATCGCCCGTGGTGGCATCCACTAAATCGTACGAATAGTTCCGGCTCTGCGTGACAAATGTCTTTCTGAACCCCGGGAAGCCCGGCGTGCAGCTAGCGGGCCAGTCTGGCTTCGGGATGCTGCCGTTGTAGAAGCACTCGAACGTTGTGCCGGGCTCGACACGGCTGTCGACATTAGTAGCGGGATCGACGCTGACGAGGTACGATGCGTTGGGGTTGATCATGGGAAGGTTGACGAGCGGCGTGCCGAAGCCGGTGTATGGAATTGTGAGGTTTGTTTCTGTAGCGGCGGATGACTGGATGTGGATGTAGCCTCAGAAGAAGGTGCCTCGCTCTGTTGCGTCCAGGAGAGCCGGGTTGGCTTTGATGGAGACCGAGACTACTGCCGCGCTTCTTGGTGGAATTTCGATAGACGAGGGGGTGATGTCGACTTGGGCATAGACGGGGTGCCCCTCTGCTGCCGTGAGTGAGTACGAATCGGCTTGATCAAGGATGTACCCCGAGGCTGCGCCTAAGTGCGACAGAGAATAAGCCAAAGTCTCGGTTCCGGTATTCTTGAGAGTGAATGTAAGAGGCGAGGGCCGGTGAAGAGTGTCGTTAAAGTCCAGGCTAGACACATTGACCAGCGAAACGGCGTGGACCGCAGCCCACGCATCAACTAACCCGCCACCCTGACTGAATACCGGAGCCAGATATTCAAACGACTTTCTGCTCCCATCGATGAATTTGACAGGCTTTGCAGTTGTCGTCACTACAGAAAGAATCTGTTTGGGGTCGTAGTCGGGATGCTTCTCCTTGACCAGCGCGAAGACCCCAACGGCAAACGGGTTGGACATGCTCGTGCCCCCGATCACCGCAAGGCCTCCGTACTTGGGCAGAAAGGTACTCAGAATGTTCTCGCCAGGTGCCACGAATGAGGGATAGCTCCGGCCTTCCGGCGTCGGACCCCAACTGGAGAAGCTGGAGACCAGGCCTCCGGAGATGTCGTTGACTCTGTAGGTGACATCCTCCTGAGCCTGCAAGACGTCGCTGGGGAAGGATAGTTGAATGCTGCCCTTGGCAAGCTGGGACTTCAGAAACTGCCCATCCTCGTTTGAGATCCTGGCAATGCCCTGGTACCGCCTGGAGAACTCTGCGAAGTTGGGAACCCACTGCATCCCGTCCGCCACCGTAGTGCTTACGGACTGGTACCTCACGACATAAGGCACGCCCAGACTGATGGCGAGGCGTGTTGAAGCATTCTTGGGGTCAAGCCAGCAGTGGTCTTCGTCGACCAGCATCACCGTGTTCGCGGGGTCAGCCGGCGGGGCAAAGTTGCCGGGGGCGGGATTACAACCGTTGGGGAAGCTCTCCGGGTCGGCGGGCATCCAGAGAGTGAGGTTGTTGTTGGCGGCAAAGTTGGATGGGAAAGAAGGGGCGAAGCGCAAGATGCCTTGGTCACTACCAGATGTCCAATTCGCGCCCCATGTGTAGTACGGGGTGGCCGAGTTGTCAGTTGATCCAATCGCGGCAACACCCTCGCCACTGGCGGGCGAGGCTCTCGTGAAGAGGCCGGGGCCATCGTTCGAACACGCCACGGTTACAGCGGTGCCATTGCGTACTATGCGGCTGACCAGACTGTCGACCGGTTCTATCAAGTATTAGCATGTGACATCTAGAACGGAACCTTGGTAAATGACAACACCGGGTCGTATTACCTTCCTGAAAAGCAAGCTTGATGTTGAACCCTATCATCATCATATCCACTCCTCTCTCATCCGCCGAAATGATAGCCGCCATTAAATCATCCAAACTTCCAGGCCGCGATCCGTCACAGGAATCTAAGCCATGCAGGTCCACTGTCGCATTCGGCGCAACGCCAACAATCCCAAATCGGCGCTCCTCGCTGTCCGCAGCAATGATGCCCAGGACATGCGTGCCATGGAGGAAGTCAAGGCAATTGTCACCTTCAAAGTCGAAGGCATTCTCGGCAGAGTTGTAGTTGTACGCAACGCGGGTCTTGGCCAGGCCCGGCGCCTTGAGGTCGAATCCTGTGTCGATCACCGCGATGCGTACCCCTGTGCCGACGATGCCTTCGGCATGAAGCTTGTCGACTCCCGTATCTTTGTGAGTGGTGAGGACATTGTGGTCGTGTGAAATTAATAGTGCTGTGCCATTGTCTGATGACCGTCGTTTGAAAGTTCTAAGAGGTTGCTGGGATGAACCTTTGGATGGGGAGCCCGCTGGTCTCTGAGGTCGAGCCTTCATCGTATCCCAGGTAGCTGGCCAAGCGTTCTGCACGATATTGAGGGCACGGAGGGCACTCAAAATAGAGGCTTTTGAGGTTGGGACGTCGTGGACACAGTCAGTTGTAAACGAGACACCCGAGAACAGCGAAGTAGTGAACATGTGTCGAGGTGCAAGGTTACAAGACAACCCTCTCCCAGCTAAGCCCTGTTCAAGGGCCAAGATCGGGTCCGTTGGTAGCATCTAAGGGTTGTTTAGCCGGATGAGACATAGTATCTAGATTCTGGCAGCTTACCCGATCCATGAACTCCACAATATAGACATCTTGTCCGTGATGGTTAGCCTTAGCTAGAGCGACAACGATAGGCAGCGCCAGCGAGGCAAGCCAGGACAGTAGTAGCATCTCTACACTTCCAAAGACGACTATGCAAAGCCCCAGGAGATGCAAAGTTATGGTTTAGAACCTCGATGTGCGAAAAAGGGGAGTTGGAAATGATATACGACTCGCGAAGTTCCGCCTCCGAACAATCCGCCCCCACGCGTTCCGCGGGCAATATGGCCGCCCCTGAGTGCCGAGAAGACTAACAAACCCAATATTATGGCGCTCGCAGTTGGTTTTAATTGAATCCAAATTACCAGATCTAGTGGCAGAGAAATTCCAGTTTTCAATTGACGAATTCAATTCGGGTTTGGGACGTGACGGAGAGGATTCCTTCTTTCCAGTTTCTTTGCAGCAGTTGTCCCAAATTGGCGAACCACAACGTAAGTATCTAGCTTCCCAGGCAACAATATATCAGTACTCTTTCTTTTCCTTTCTCTTTTCTACGTTTCCATTTCGAACCATATTTGACATTCATGATCTGCCTGTGCCAGTTTACGGGTTGCAAACAAACTCGCAGCCCGGAACACGGGTGCACTCCCCGTACGTCGGCTTATCACCAGCTCTCAAGCATGCTTGGACACAGGAGTCGCACTGGAAATGTTGGCTCACTCAGTACAACTAGCTTGTTCTCGACTTTGAGGGACGTCTTTTTACGAGTCCCTGACGCTTGTCCATGTCGGCGTTGGGCGCGGCAGGTTTCCGTTGCAGTCACTACTAGGCAGGTCTGGGCTTAGTATGTTGGCGAAAGCGCCGATGCCAGACTCGACTGCGTAGCTGAGTGCTGTTTTGCCGTTCAAATCTTTCGCACACGGGCTTGCGCCATAAGACAACAGGAGACGAACCATTTCAACATCACCCTGCAGAATCGCCTGATGCAAGGCGGGGCGATCCAAAGATAGCGCGTTCAATTCGAACTGGTACTCTGTTTCAGACGAATAGTTGTAATAATCGGGCCGCATGAGCCATTCAACACGGTGATAGTGCTGCTTGTTCTCCAATAGCCACTTCACAATGGCATATGCACTACTTTCGACAGCGTGTACGACCAGAAGTGGTAGAAGATCAGGGTCTGATGTTGAGCTGAAGCTCGGGTCGCCTGTCAGTGGTTCCCCAGCCAGCTCTACAAGAGTTCGAAAAGTATCGACACTGTCGCGATCCAGAGTGCACATGACGGGAGGCCGTTGCCCTGACGAGTAGGTGTTGGGTACCATGCCGAATCTGACCAATTGCCGCACGTTCTGCGACTCTCCCGCCTCGCAGGCGCAATGTAGTGCATCACCGTACCAATTATGAATAGTCGGGTCTGCACCACTCGCCAGCAAAAGGCCAAGAGTCTCCGGGTCAGCCTCGGAGGCTGCAAGAATTACTGGTGTTGACTTGACCTTGGCCGTGCGAAGATTGATGTCCTTGATGTGACCGGTTTTGAGAAGCTTCTGAAGTGTCTCTCTCAGCCCGTATCTACTGGCGATGTGCAATGGTGTGACACTGAGACACTCATTCAGATCCCAGTATTGGTCCTTGAATCCTCGATCGTATTGCATTACTTGACAAGCAGCAGCAGTAGATGCTCTTTGCTGCAAAAACTTCGATAGTAGCTCACTAACCAAAGGATGCTGTTCGGTGAGTGCGACATGCTTTCCCCAGTATCGTGCTGCGTAACGCACAAAGGGATACCGGGTGACTCGCTCGTAAACGTCTTCCTTGCGGCTGCATGGACCCGAACCATAGTCCTCGTACAGAAGATACAGTAAGCAGGTTGACGAAATGTCTTCTTTGACTCCGGGAGACAGTTCGTCGGCGTGCCTCTCCAAGTATTCCTGGAATGTGTAGTGCGCAAAACTGAGACGATTTGTGACCGGCTCAACTATGACCATGCCCTGGCAGCAGTTACCCATCATTTTGGACGGAGGCCTGTATCTAGTGCTCCAGGAAGTGTATCCCATTTTAACCGATTCTGATGCTGAAAGCGCGTCTCCTAACTCCTCAGATGTTAGGCCGGCTTTAGCATGGACAAGCCAGCCCAGAACCCGCTTTGCGAGGATGCTTTGATCTTCGGGAAGGCGATCTATTCGAGCCATTGTCTCTTCGAATACGATTGCCAGATCGTCTGAGACTGAGCACAGAGCATCTTCCATGTGGCCTCTGGTTGTCTTTCCAAGGACCGTTCCCAATTGCAGGACTACCGGAAGAAACCTTCGAGAACTTATTATCACCGGTCTCGCACGTTGGTAGAGGGCTCAACTCACGTTCCATTTGACCTGGCTATCATCTGCTTTATGATATGATTCGAAAAGCTCTCGTCAATAATACCGTATTGATCCTCTTCGCTAATTGTGTGTTGGATATACATCGCGAGGTCGCCGTCGTGCGCCTGAATTGGAATCTGGGGATTATTTCCCCATGAAGCCTCGATATCCGGTATGTGCGAACGGCTGGTTACAAGGATCTTGATTGAATTGCATGCGGCCAACTCGTCTATGGCGAGTAACAGCCTCCGGCGCTGAACTTGGTCGCACTCATCCAATGCATCCAACACAACGTAAAGCGGCCTTCGGGGAGTTGACACATCGAGCAGCATCCGCAAGGCATCGGCTGTGCCTATCGTGCGGCTACCACTTCTGCTGCTTCTGAACGCTTCAATGACGACCTTGGGTATTTCCGCAAGTTCAGAAAGCGCCTGTTTCAGAAGCGACGCCAGAAGGGTGGACAGGATCTGTGATCTCTCATCAGAGTACTTCAGGTAGAAGTGTGACACAGCTACCTCCGACGTTGGTAACAACCTCAGATGATCGACTACCACTGACCTGTTTCGAAACTTATTAAGCCTTACTACTTCAATGTTTCTCTGTAAACCATAATAACTCACGCCAAGACCGTTTTGCCTGACCCAGGCAGCCCATGACACCAAAGCAGGTTCGTCGATGATGCGTCATCCCGCCAATTTTCGAAAGAGGCATTCTCAGTGATCCAATTACCAGTGTCATTTATACGCGGGTGCTTGGCCTCCAAGTGTCGTCTTTCGTGATCGAAGTCGGAAATCCAATCCAACACTTCGCGCCGCTCTTGTTCCCGACGAGAATCCTCAATGACCTTGACTTGACTATTGACAGTTGTCTTCAGGCTCTGGATATCACCTTGGATTGATCTGAACTCGTAAAGGCGTTGTTCGAATGCTTTTGGAAGATCGACTGAGCTTAGAGACAACAAGCGACAGCCTTCGATTGATAAACCAAGCTGTATCCAAAAGGCAAGACGGCGAAGCGTCTCAAGTGACTCGTGGCACTTTGTCTGGGCCAGAGGCCATGCCAGCTGTTTTGTTTTGCTTTCCGCGTACATTTCCAGGGTCTCGCTCAAAGACTGCAATTTGACTTTACAAGCCTTGGAGCATGAAACAAGGACCGAGGATTGGTCAAATTTGATGACCTTTGCCTTGATCACAGGGCTATCAAGGAGTTGCTGCAGTGAGATCAGACTGCCCCGCAAGGCCTCTAGCTCTTCCATCAATTGCTGGATAAGGGCCTTGGCGTTCCTCGCGTCCGCATAAAATGTTTGCACCCGCTGGATTGTGTCGGCAACCACTGGTATCAAGCCGACAACCGTCAGCGAGAGCGTGACGGTGTCCATGACATGGGAGCGAGGAAGGGAGGCTGAGTCGCTTCGACGTGCACTAGCCCTGTTGGCAGGATACGAAATCTTGTTGAATGAAAGAGTGGGAAAATTCTTGTTAAGTCAGAACATGAAAAAGAGATGATATCATGGACGGTAAGACGGTGAGTCAGCAAAACATGTGGAATGATTGGAGATACGTGGTACCGCCAAGAAGGCAGAGATGATGCGGAAGTCGTTTGATTGGACTGTTTCTACATCATACCACACAAGAAGATTGCAGCCTGCTTCTATCATACCAGCACTGAATTCTGTAGGCAGACATAGCAAATGACTCGAGATTTGGGTAGGCACACATTCAAGCACAATTCAAATGCATGTTTCTTGGTATCTAAGACAAAAGTCCACTCTGACATCCCGAGATGCTAGCAAAAGCTGCCAATCACTGCGTAATACTCAGGGAGAGAGCCGCTGCTCCACCGCCGTTGTTTGTTGCGCAAACAGATATGCTGCCTCCTGAAAAGTCGATATACATCAGACCAGCGCCCGACGCCTTGTTACCAGAGAAGTATTTAGGGCCAGAGCTGTCATCGCCGATTTGAATCACGACTCCGTCGGATGTGGTGTACGAAAATCCGTAGTTGCCCTGCTGGATGTTGAGTCCCGTAGTCGGGAAGCATGAAGTTGCACCGGCGGTCAGGTTCTCGTCCATTTTCAACACCTCTTTTCCAGCAGGTGCCTTGACGGCCTCTGACGGTGCTTCGGTGATGGTAAACTTCAAGGGCAAGGCGCCACCGGAGCTTTGGCCGCAAATTGAGAGAGACGATCCAGAGTCGGCGTAGAATGTGCCCGTCCACGACCCCATCGACTGGTGGTAGCCTTCATCTGTAGCGCCAGTTTCAATGCTCACCAAGAGATTGGCATCCACGTCGAAAGAGAAGCCGTACGTCGTTCCGGCTGAGGTGGTGAAACCGGATGTCGGGAAGCACGACTTGGTGCCACCGCCAATACTCTCGTCCAGCGAGTACAGAGTCTTTGGGGCTGGCGGAGGCGGCGGCGGCGCGGAAGTTGTAGCAGACGGCTCGCTGGTAGTAGCCGGAGGGGAAGGCGGTGGAGGGGCAGTCGTGGAGGCCGGGGGAGGAATTGTTGTTGTAGACGCGACGACTGAGCAAGCCTCTCCACTGAGGTCTTGTCTTCTGAACTTGGCGCTATTGGGCCTGTTGCAGACGGCTCCTTGACCGTTATAAGCTACCTGTCCACCGTCTGCCACACGTTGATACGCCATGGCAACGATAAGATCCTTCATGTTCGCTGCGACCTTACCAGACTGGTATAGCTCGGGGGATTCACCCAGAGCGAGGAGGTATGCTGCCAGACCGGCAACAGACGGCGCCGCTATTGAGATAATGTCAATAAACTGAAGAAAATCAAGGGTGCTGCTGAGCAGGGCGACTCACCAAACGAGGTGCCGTCTTGCTTCTGGGTGTTCGAGAAGAACGAGTTTGCAGCACACTGGATCTGTTCGCCCGGTGCCATGACATGAACCAAGGGCCCTCCCTGCGAGAACGATGCGTTTTTGCCGGTGTTGTCAGTGGCACCAACGTTAATGATTGGTACGCCGTCGGCAGCCATCATGGACGGCCAGGCGTCGACGTCCTTCGCCTTTGCCTTGCCGGCCTGCGACATCCATACCGTCAGTCCATAACCAGGAAGATGTTTGAGCGGAGCACTTACCGCAACATCGTCTGAATTGTCATTACCCGCCGCAGTGATGAAGACGACGTCTTCCTTAATCAACTCGTTAACGTAATGCTGAAGCATCTTCTTGTTGAATGAATTGGGATTGTCAACTAAGGGTGGCAGTCTTGTCAGTATGTGCCAATGCGGTACATGGGTTACATCTTCACCCTCGTTGGACCGAGCGAGATACTTACTGTTGCGTGAGAAGTTGACAACCGCTTTGTTCTGCAGCTTCTTATCTCTCACATCCCTCAAGATCTGATCGAGGCCATCAAGGGTGTCACCAGATGTATCACCGGCTTTTACAATGACAAGCTCTGCCTTCTTAGCAACACCATATTTGGGCCCGTTGACCTTTGAGCCAGCGCAGCTGCCGTGGCCGTCGGAGTCACGGTCCTCCTCAACGGACTTCTCCGCTTGGGTGCCTGCAAAGATCCATCTTGGCTTCACAGCCATTCCAGTGTACTCCTATTACACAAACCTCATTAGTTCTGAGATTTCCACAGTGGAGGGCATGTCTACTCACGCTGTTTTTAGTGTAGTATCCGCTATCCAGTACGTAGACTGTGATGCCGGCTCCCGCACTGTCGTCATAGGAATAGCTCGTGAGTGCTTTGATGTCGACCAAGGGAGGCTGCGAGAACATGATGAGTTCGACGGGTGCCTTGTCTTGCTTGACCACGGCGCGCTTCTTGATCTCTCCACGCCGATCTAGCGACTCCATGAACCACTTCTCATCAATATCTTCGGCACGCTTGCTGTTCGGGACGAGCGAGCCCGGCCTGTCGTCGGTGTCATACAGCTGGTCGAGCTCGACACCCGCAACCTAAACAAGAGCTTAGCTACGAATTTCCAATGGAAGGTGCAGCGCATCGTTGAGAGAAACACTTTGACGTACCGTGGGGTCCTTGATGAGAGTCGAGTTCTGTGACGCTGTAATGTTGGCGGCCGCAAACAACACCACCGTGTCCTCCGTCTTGTGGTAGTTACCCTTGCCGAGTACCGTATCGAGGAGCGTTATAAAGCTGGTTTTTTCCTGGGTAGTGGCTCCGTCTTTGCAGAAGACGATGCACGCCTTGGGGGTCTCACTCGGCAGAGCGCTCGATGTACTCGTGGGTGCCTCCGAGGTGGAGCTGGGCGGAGCGGAGCTAGGCGGCGCGGAGCTAGGTGGAGGTGCGGAACTAGGTGGTGCGGAGGGGGCCTCGGGCGTGGAGCTGGGCGGCTTGACATCCGGGTCGTCCGGGTTGTCACCCTGCGAAGACCCGGCTACCGCGCTTGCGCCAGCTGCGACTGCAACTGGGCCTGCTGACGAACCGACAACTGTGAAGAACCCACCCCCCACGCCTCCAACGACGGTTACACCCACCGGGACTACGATGGTGTCGCCATTGCTCACTGTTGTTGTGGCTGGGGGAGCCGTTGACGTCGGTGCTGCTGATGAGATGGGAGGCTTGGTGACTGATGGTGAGATCGTAGGGGGCGCTGAAGGAGGTTGGCTTGGTATCGGTGTCCCAGAAGGGATGTTGGTCGAAGGAGGAAGAGAAGGGCGACGACTAGATGAGGGTAAGACTGAAGGAGCGCGGCTAGAGGATGATTGAACTGAAGGGCGGCGGCTAGATGAGGGTATGAGCGAAGGACGACGACTTGATGAAGGTATCACTGATGGACGACGGCTTGACAAAGGCACGACTGAGCTAGTGCCGTTCCTCTGTGGACCTTGCCGTCTCACGAGTGGAGCATCATTGATGTAGGGCTCCTCTAAAACATCAGCCGCTACCGCTGTGAAAGATAATAAGCTCAAGCTGAGCAGTAAAGAGTGTCGGATGTCGAACTTCATGTTCGACTAACGAAAGTGGGTTCGCGTACAAGAAACGAAAGGAACGTATGCCGAGTGTTGCCCAATTCTGGGGCCGCAAAGGGCTTGAAAGCAGTCCATGATATATGCGAAGCCCTCGGACGAGGCGGACTTCACGAACTACTCGTCTGAATGAGGTTCATCTATTCGATGCGCCGGACCTTCTGCCACGCTGCTAATTTTGGGGATTTGCTGTGCTATGCTATCGATCCATACCCACATCGCTTCATCGCGCAGCGGCGTGGATAGGTGTGCTGTCAACCACTCAGCGGGCCTCATAAGGCTAACCTCAACTTAATTATAATGCTACTCACTCGTAAAAGCGCATGATGTGACTCTCCAGGGCCGGCCTAGATGAGATACAGAGTCAGACACTTCAGCTTGGCGACCTATCAATGGTCTTAGCGGGGTTATGGTCACTCCAGAGCCAGCTGACCATGAGCTTGACACAATCAACCTAACTCTAGGCCGGTTCGAAGATCAGCCCCTTCATTCGAGGCTGAGTCAATGTTGCTTGACAGTCCCAGGATGTAAATCGAAGAACTCGATACGTCCGAGCCCGGCGAGCAGTCCGTGATCTGGTAGCCACTTTGCGTACGGATAGGGTAAAGCCCACCGACCTCGGGAATCTGGACCACATTTAATAACATGGGCTCTACCGGCTGTTCAATAATCGATATTTAGAACAGAAGCTGGCATCATCCTGTGGCGAGTGACGAGTGAGTCTTCGGCAATCGTCCGCGGGTACCCGGTCAATGCTGGAGTCTTCAAACGGATAATGAGATCGGATGACACTGCCGAGCGGAACACATATTAGGCAGTTTGCACCCGGATGGCGCAAGGTCTGATGACAAAATCCTCAGGGAAATTTAAGCGACGCGTCCCGGGCCAAGTCGGCCGGCAGTCCGCGGCGCCGTCCCTTTTCCGCACTAGTGCGGGGCAGTACGGCTGAGAGTGGCTCCTCGGCTCCGACAAGCCCTTGGCGCATCTCCAGAAGCAGTATCTGAGAGCTTTTCGGACACCAAGAATGATGGATCTTAGCATGGTAGAAGACCCATCGGTGTCTTTGGAATGGACATTGTTTCTGTTTCCATGACAACAGTCCAGTTCATCAAATGATTTCCTTTTGCTCCGACAATGAGGTTGTCCGAAGAAGCTCGTCGTATTTGTTTATGAAACTAATATAGATCTAGGACTGCAGATTTGCGTTGCCGAGAACCATACCCTTGGAACTTTGTACGACACCCGCGTATTTTTCGGGTGCCCGTGTGTTGTTGGGGGCTGGCACCGAGTCAGTTACTCCATTTAGCTGGCCTTCATGACAGCTTTTGGACATGAGACGAGGATGGGGCTGCAACTCCACGCTGATTTATAATAGAGTTTACTAGGTCCGTTTGAGATGAGTGAAAGTGAGGTGCCAGCCTCAAAGAAGGCCTGGAGCCTCGGGCGACGACTGGTCCAGGCCACAATGACCATCTCTTATATAAGTCATTTAACGTCCATTCGCTTTCGCACAATCAAAAAGACGACGCTATTCTGCCCAACAGGCTACCGTTTCTCCCTCATCTGCCCGTGAACTTTTGTAATATTGAAGCAGATGCGTCACAATCTGCGCACTCATCAGTTCACATCATTGGACTGCAAATTTCCATCCTTTGGTGCAATGACTAAGTTGGAGGTCTTGGAATGACATAATTCGGTTTGGTCGCTTGGCTCGCCGTATGAATGCTACCTCAACTCCATACTGGGCTGGTTCGGCAATGTTGCGCGTTGCGGAATATTTCTCGGGAGCACGGGCTGAAACAACACGATTTGGCCAAGCCACATGGTTCAAGCAAACTTGTGGGGGTTGATGCGTATGTATTGACTCGTGGCTTCGGAAGCTTGCCGGTCGACTCGATTGAGGTCAACGTCGGACCGCTTCCTAGCCTACTCACCTGCTAGTCTTCCACAGTTGATATTGACCTTGCTGTACCTGTCCGGGGCTAATCAGTAGGGCTTCTTAAGGTTTAACGAGGGTACGTAAGGTTTGACTTTTGAGCACTCTAAAGGATTCGTATAAAGTCTGGTTGTATTCTATGATATATTTATCAACATTTTTGATCGATCTGAGCAAAGCGCTCTATTAAAAAAGTAAGGGGTGTACCAATAGGGCGAGGATGTTGCTTCTGGGCTGCATATACTTCGTATAGCCCTACCTTATAGATACAAACTAGCATGATTGGTTCCTACGGAGTAAATGTTTGAGGAGCGCAATGAACCCATACGTGTTCTCATGTTGCGCACACCTTGGATAACATGGCTTTATTTTGGAATGCGGAACAGCGTTTTTCTCGCGCTCATCTTCAAAGCTCCAGCGAACTTTCGTACCACATCCATATTGACCTACGTAGCCATCTCGCTGTTCCTTCCAACCCCCCTGCAAAAAGAAGAAGGAAAACGGCAGTAAGTCGCTTTGGTAAAAGATTATTGTAGACATCACTTACTCCATGGGGCTGCCACAAAGGCTTTCCTATGACCCTCACAGCCATATGAACCATAGCTGTCGTATGGAAGTCGAAAAAAAGTGTGGCAGCAGGTGGCAGATAGCTGTAGTTGTGTGGAAAGAGGGAAAGATGAAAGAGACTGTGACCATCATGTCCAGGCTTGGTCCGGTCCTCCAGTTATTTGTTGCCTGCACTTTGGCTTGTGGCTGTGGTTGGCCCTCCCGTCATTCCTACCGTCTGCAACAGACCGGTAGAAGGTATCGTCCGAGATACTAGTCGGCCAGTAGAATAATTGTGAAACCAACAGAAACGAAGTAGATTAAAAACATACATGTCGTCTCTAGTTTGGTCTTCCTGTGTCACCCAACGGGACATCCCGTAGGTACCTAACATCTGTGTTCCGCTTAACCTGTTCAACCCGGGCCAACTTTCGTCAACCCATGCTGCTAACGGACTTGCACGATCATACCTGACAAGCCCCGATAAGCGGCAAAGGAGGGCAATGCTGGAAGGAAGGTTTCTCGAGGTCCGAGCAGGGACTGGTTACCTAACATAAGGGTTTTTCCGACGAGCTTCCCAAAATATAAAGTCAGACTCTGTAGGTTCTGTCGTACGAAGGAACTGGCTGCTTCCAAAGACGGGAGGTCCTGAGCATCAGGAGTCTATAAGTTGCGTTCCTACTTAGTGCTGCGTGAAATACATCCTTCACTGATTGTCTGACAAGCACCACCTCCCGATATCAAGTTCTAGATTGACGACTCCGAAGAGGTGTAGTGGTACGACCACCTGTTTGACTCCATCCACAACCATGTAATGCAATCTACCATCGGCGACTTGAAAGCCCGTGTCAAAAGTGGCTGCGGGAGAAAAACCAGCAGGCCTTTTACTTATCGCCAGGTGGAATATTTCAGCCGCGGCTAATTAAACCCCCTACTGGGCCGAACAAACCTCACTCCGGAGGACTGCCTCCAACTCAAATAACATAAACCTCTCCTCCCTCTCCTCAGGAACGGTCTGCCCCCCAGACTCTACGATCGCCAAAGTCATAACGCCCCCTACAAGGTTGCCCTGAGCGAGATTGGGCGGGCTATTCCAGGCCGTCAACGTCCCCAACACCGTCCTACCTTAGTGTACGGACAGCAGCCCAAGTTATCAGACCTCTAAGCCGCCTGGCCCCACACAAAGGTGGCACAAAGAGCCCAGGGCGTGCTGAAACTACTCAGAACCCCCAACGAGCGCGTGAGGGGGGGGGGGGGGGGGGGGGGGGGGGGGGGGGGGNGGGGGGGGGGGGGGGGGGGGGGGGGGGGGGGGGGGGGGCGGAGGGAGGGGGCTGTATCTGGGTATCTGAACGCCTGTTTGCTAACTTCCTCCACACGGTATTGTGGGAGACGGAAATGACGTGAGCGTTCAGGGGCGTCTTCCAATGTAAGCTACTGACTGCAAGGGCCCTATCGGGCGATTGCGTCAAACACCTCGAGGGTGATGGATGAGGCAAGGGTCACAGCTGGATGATCTACGGCCCAAAGATCCGAGGAGCCGGCGGATGGCCTTGAAGCAGGATCTTACCGAGTAGTGCAAGGTTAGTAATGGACAAGGTGCCTCTCTCAATGCGATGATATCCAATAGGACGTATTATGCGTCACTCGTGACCTGTCGTGCGTGTAAACATGCCGAATGAGTGCTTCTAGAAACCCTGCCTGAAACGTTTGGTTCATCTGATGGCAAAGGTATCAAACCTACATCAAGCGGCGGAACAGTCTACGTCTTGTCACTAGCAATATTTCCCCGCCAGATAGACCTCGGTAATTGCGTTCATCATGTTACTGCAACAAAAAAGTCTTGATGTATTGACCCTCAAACGGGCGGGGGAAATTCGCGCGCAACAAAGTGTATGCTAATGCGGAGGGTCTCAAATGGCCTCCGGCTCGCGATCTATCAATATCTATGCAAACGCTGATAAGCAACGCGGTTGGGTGTGTGTGGGATATCATATGCTGCTGTGCTCGCTCTCTGAAACAAAAAACAATTCATTCCGAGTCGTTATCCGCGTCCGTCTGGACCCGGTCCTCCGAAAGCTTCGGGTTCCTCAGGATAAAGGAGAACCCGACCATCGGGATGCAAATGCAAAGGGCGGCAATGCAGAGAACCCGCTGGACGCCGCTGTAGCTGCCGATGACGGCGTCTCTGACGTCTGTGCCGACGGGGTAGTCTTTGAGGGTGTCAAAGGGCGAGTTGTAGATGGCCGCGGCGAGGGTCCTGTTTGGCTGGAAAGCCAGACTCTCGTCCAGGGATGGGTAGAGCAGCTGCGTCCAGAGAGCGCCGGACAGGCAGTTGCCCAGCGCGCTGCCGACGTTGAAGAGCGACAGGTAGAGACTCGTGATGACGGCGACGTGCTCGCGGTCCGCCGAAGCCTGGATGGAGGCCTGCGTGGGGTAGGCGAACAGCCCGCCGGCCAGGCCCATGATGACCTGCCCGGCGATGAGGCCCCTGTGGGACGAGGCATCGGCACCGCCCGAGTATGCGATGAGGAGGAAGAAGGACGCCGTGAAGATGCAGGCGCCGGTGACGATGATGGCCTTGAGGCGGCGGATCTTGTAGATGACGAAGCTGATGAGGACACCGCTGAAGACGCCGAAGAAGGAGAAGAAAGACAGGATGCGGGTGGCGGTCTCAACGGAGAAGTCGAAGGCGACGATGAGCACGGTGTAGAGGTAGTTGCCCTGGGTGGACCAGGCGAAGTTGAGCAGGCTGCGGACGGCGAGGGCAGCCCAGACGCCGCGATCCTTGAGCAGACGGAAAGGGATCAGAGGCACCTGGGCCTGGCGCTCCCAGAAGACAAAGACGGGGATGCAGACGATGCCGAAGATGAGGGGCACGAGGATGGCGGGGGATTTCCAGTGGCTGACGGTGCCGCCGGCGAGGGTCAAAGGGGCTAGGGTGAAGGAGAAGGCGGAGATGAGGATGACGAGGCCGATGGTGTCGAGCTGATGGAAGAGGGTGACACCGCTGCCCTCCTTTGAGAGACGAGAGTGTCGCGATTTTCTCGACTTTTGGCCAAAGGCATAGAGGCTGGTGAGGAGCGGGATGGAGGAGAAGGGCAGGATGATGGCCCACATGCCAATACCCCAGCGCCAAGACGTGACGTGCAGCACGGCCGCGGTGACATTGCCGCTGATCCACGTGTTGAAGACGAAGGGAATCGCAGGAATGTAGCTGAAGAAGACGCGGGAGCGCATGGACGAGAAGTCGGCGACGAGGACCTCGAGCAGCAGGACGAGGCAGGTGTAGCCGATCTGGTAGAGGATTGCGCCGACGCAAAAGACCTCGACGGTCGTGGCGCTAGCCTCGAAGGCGGTGCCGACGACGTATAGCAATATGGCGGCGAGGGTGGTCTCGAAGCGGCCGTAGATGTCGGCGATTTTTGCCGCGGTCGGCTGTGATGCGACGGCGACGACGCTGCGGAGGACGTTGATGGTCGAATGCGACGAGTGCAGCTTCAGGCTGGAGGTGGCGTAGGGCTGGTATGTTCCCCGCACCTGGCTGTCGAGGCCGTAGGCGTAGCCGACCAGGAAGATCCCGACAAAGAGCCAGACGCGCTCCGTCTGGCTGATGTGGGTTGCGGCTGCTGGGACGGCATCGGGAGTGGTGTCGAAGGGCGGTGTTTGAGTTTGGGTTTGGCTGTGGTCGCTCGGGCGTTGGTGCGGTGCGGTGCCGGCGTTATGGTCGGAGGAGGAGAGCAGCGGCGACGTCTCCTCGCCGTCGGAGGAGGAGCGTCTCGCTGCCCATAATCTCTTCATGTCTAAGACAGCGGTCGCGGGAGGGGCATTCGTTCAGAGGTAAGGGGTGTTCGTCACGTCTTTTTGTCGCCAGGAACGATGGCGAAGGAGCAGGAGGAATGTCGCTGGAGGTGTTGTCGAAGGGTTGTTGCGACCGGGAGAAGGGTAGGTGGTATCAAGATATCCGCGACATTCGAACCAGGCAGGCACCACAAACGGGAGAAAAACCGGTCGCTCTCGGTTGCCTGATAGGAGGTGCTGTTCAGGGGTGTTTGTTCAGTCAGCAGGGGCTGTGTTGTGCGTGTGTGTGTGATTTGTGATTAGGCGACACGGGAGAGAAACAATCACCAGGGGCATGAAGCAGGAAGTAGGATGGATGATTGAGTGGATGGATGGGGAAATCAAAAAAAGGAGTTGCAGCGCTGACAAGTAGTGTAGATGAATTATGCAGACCAGATCTGATGGTTCGCCTGTTGGATCTGTTTGCCTAGGAAAGCGAAAGACGGCGGCAAGGCGGGCAACGGCAGTAGCGACAGCGATGACAGCAGAGCAGGCCGCAGCTGAATGAAGGCTGCCGCATGACTTGGTTTCGCGGGATTGGATAGCCTAGGGCGAGTCGGAGAGGATTCAGGATCACCGGATCACTGCTCACACGACGCGCACTCTGGGAGTCATCAGTCAGCAGAGCGAAGACCGGAGCAGCAGCGAACAACTCACACACACAGTGAAGCCAAGGCAGGACCCAACCACTGCCAACCACTGCCAGCAGAGGTAGGTAAAGCAACTAAGGCACGCCGGCTTCCCGTCGTCACGTTGCACCTCGCACGGCGAATCGAAAACGACCGATCAGATTAGATCATCTGATAAGATGGCCCCTCTGGGGAGGTGCCTAGGTAAAAGCTGGTGCCAGGGCCAATCACGACATCTCAATCCTGGATTTTCAGGGATGCGCCGCCTTAAGCGCCCAGAAATTCTGGCCGTGTTCTGGGCGTCACGGATGCTTTTTGGCGGCGTCGGGGCGCGCTACGGCCACCTTCAAGGCAAATGGTGGCGGGTTAAAAGGGCTCCGGCGGCCCTGAAAGAAAACCCTCCCAAGTCGATTTCCCGGGTTTTGCCTGGCAGGAGAAACACAGCTGTCAACATGTGTTGCAACACAAAGCCCAGCCTGCTTTGCTGTTCATGATTCACGACTCACTCCCTCGCGAAGCGACGGCAACGCTGCGGGTCGGACGGAACCTTTTATTGAGCCGATGGCCTGCACAGCTGCTGCAACATTATGAGCCCCGCCAAGGACCCGTCTCGGTTCCCGGCCGGCGACTCGGATTTGCGACGGAGGCTGCCAGACATGGACATTCGCCGCCGCTGCCTTGCCTCGGTTACACACGCTGCCCTGCTCATCTGCCCTGCTCTCCTCATGTCGTGATATGCACCTACTAAATTGCCTCGCAGAACATCAGTTTCAGCTCTCGAAATCTCCTGGAAAGTGTCTGTACTCTGGAGAAGACAGCAATGACGTATTTCGGCACCGACTGCATGCCCGGTGACAACTCAGCATCGCAAATGGGCCGTAAACAAGCATTAGGGGTCGACGGCTGCCACCGAGACACGAATGCGCTCGCCTGCTGATTGGCTCAGCACCGCATTCTTCTCCTACGTGGACATTTTTAGTGCGCCAGCCGTTGCAGCCGGGGCTTTCGCTCTCCACCGCGCTGGGCCTCTGTCAGTGCTGCAACCCTGCCGCCACCCGCGCCCAATACCCCAAAATTGTCACTGTGAGTGTCAGAAGCGATACAATCTTCTTGCGAACTTGGGTCGGAGCTTTTGGACGATGTTGCGATGCTTCGCTGGCCGTGAACAGAATTTTCAAAGTGTGGCGTCGACTCCGCAAATTGGATGTGGCTGGGCTGACTCAAAATGGAAGGTACGATTAGAGCAAGAGCGATAGCGGATGCAGCAACAGAAGGCATGAGCGACAAGCAGAATCTGCATCTCTTTCCGCAACAGCATCCATCGCGCATGCATAGTCGACGTTGCACAACCTCCGCCCAACCTCCACTCAACCTCCAATCCATATCACACATGCATCCTTCAACATGCCGTCAACAGACACGGTGCCCATCTACCGCATCGACCTCGCCCTTCCGCCAGAGCAGCGATACGTCCAAATAGCGAAGGACTTTGCTGAGCAGCTGCGGGCCATAGCGCCCCTTTACGACCTTGTCCTTGCACAGATCCTGGTCTACCCGCCGATCATCCGCCTCGCAAAGTTCTTGGTCCGCCTGTGCCTGCGCCGCGTCCACAACGACGACGAGAACCGCGAGATCCGCTCCATCGCCGAGACTGCTGGCGTCGATCTGCATCTCGTCGTCGCCCTCAACACCTTTTTGGATTGTCTGCTGGGGTGCACCTCGGGTACAGTCCCGGTTTGCGACGATGACGCCCCGGAAGATGCGCCGTCGCATTTGATGCATTTTCGCACCCTGGACTGGGGCATGCCGGAGCTGGCGGATGTTTTGGTCCAACTTGACTTTGTCGACTCCAAGTCGCAGCAACCCGACACAGCTTTGGCAAGGTCCATAACGTACGCCGGTTTTGTCGGTACCCTCACCGGCGTCAGGTAGGAGAATCGTATTGAGCGCTCTTTTGTGATGGTCGTGGAGTTGACTAGTTCCCATAATTAGACCAGGACTATCTCTGTCACTCAATCACAGGCCGTTGCTGAACACCAAGACAAAGTCGTCCATCTTCCACCAGGTCCTCGTTCTCCTGGGCCGAAGACCATCGATATCTTCCATGCTACGTCAGGTGCTGTTACCGCCCAAATCCATCGACGTTAAAAGTGCAAAGGACGCAGATACCAGCAGCCTTGTCGCCTTCGCGAACGACTTCGTCAAGAACCCGTCGCCGTCGTGCTACCTCATTTTCAGTACCCCACAAGAGGCGGTAGTCATCCAGAAAGACTACATCGGCGGCAACATTAAGCACACCTACGACTTCATCGCCCAGGCAAACCACGACACCAACCACACCCTGTGCTGCGGGGCCTCAGAGTTTCACCACAAGGCGCTCGAGTTGGAGGATAAAGCTTCCATTCCGGAGGACTCCCTATGGCTCTCCGGGTCGGCTGAGCGGCAGAACTTTGTCCATGACAACTGGAAGGCTCACAGCAAGAGATTAGGGGCTACTGCCTCGACGGGTGTTGCCGACACAGCGGAAGAGCAGAGTGGCAATGGATCGTGCGTCGCTTTGGCAAAGAGTCTCCGGCCGAATCCTCGAAGTCGAGGCGTTACTAAGAGCGTCTTAAAGAGGTGGATGATGTCTGAGCCCGTCTTCAATGACTTCACCCACTTTGCGACGGCCATGGATCCGCTTTCTGGGGATGTTGTTTTCCTTAAGAAAGGTGAACTAAATATACCATCTCTATAACTTCAACACGCGGACTAAAGAGCCAGTATCCGTAAACCCCGGGAGCAGTGTCACCACTGCACACGCCTCAATGACTAATAGGTTAATTACAGTATTAGAAGTAAACAATATGAAGCAAAAGTCATCCCAAGTAAGGTAGAAAACTACTCCTAGTTAAAAATGACTTTCCCACGTCGAGAAAGACCCCTAGCAAGAAGCTTTCCCTTGCTAGAAGGAGTCCTCATACATAGTAACTTTATCAACAAGACCTGACCCCCCAAACCCACCGAGGTACACGTAAAGGTAACAAGCTACGGTTGAACTGCATCCCAAAGCGCACCAAACCAATTGTGAATCACCAAGCCTGGATATCATACACAAACTCTCTAAGCCGCAGCATGGCAAAGGCCCAGCTCACTGCTTTACTCGTCCATTCTCAGCAAAATCCCCAAATGTGATGACTGCCTTGCCATCACGCCCTCGCCTCCCGGCAAACTCCCAAGCCTGCCCCGCCTCTTCAAAGGAAAACGCTTCCACCCGCAATGCCTCAACCAACCCCTCATCAATCATCCCAGCCGCCATAGAGAGCGCTTCAACGTCCGGTGACACAATAAAGTACTCATACCGCACATGAGGATACCTCCCAGCCTCCTCCGCCAGACCACGGCCAAACGCCCATTCCGGCGCCGGGTCGCCGACGGTGATGGTCATCCCGCCGGGCCTGACCACCTCCCACGTCTTACCCAGCACATCTCCGCCAACAGTATCAAACACCACATCCACGCCTCGTATTTCGGCACTCCAACTTCCATCATTGTAATCCGCTACCTTCCGCGCCCCGAGTCCTGTCAATATCTCTTCACTCCGCGACGACGCCAGCGCAACGACCTCAGCCCCGCGCCGCGCCGCAATCTGCACGGCGGTACTCCCCACCGCACCGCCGGCGCCTGTTATCAACACTTTCATCCCCGCCCCAACCTTCCCGCGGACGATGATCCCTTCCCACGCCGTAAGAAGCGGGATCGGCAGCGCAGCCGCCGCTTCATGCGAGATTGAGGATGGTTTTGGCGCGACTTCGTCCGAGAGGCAGACGACGTACTCCGCCTGTCCGCCGCCCCCGCTGTCTGCGGCGATGAAGGCGAAAACGGGCTGGGAGAGGCGCAGGGGGCCGGTATAAGTCGGCCCGAGGGCGGCGACGGTGCCGGAAAGCTCGTGGCCTGGGATGCGGTGCGGGGCGGTGTAGAGTTCGGGCCAGAGGAGTTCGTCGGCGGTGATGCCGGCGGCGTGGACGCGGATTAGGATTTCAGAGGAGTTTGGTATGGGGGTGGGTAGAGAACTGGTGGCGACTACTTCTGGGGAGGAGGCGGGGCCGAGGACTTGGATTGCTTTCATGTTGTGCTGTGGAATGTTGATCAGATTAAATGATTTGTGTATAGGTAGGTTGACTGCTGCAGCTGAGTGGGAGGCTCGTGGGCGACCTTTTCAGCACAGGTTAGAACCTGACTTTCATTACATGAAGTGATAGACGGCGTCTGCCTGATGATACAGGTTTGCTTCAATTGGCCATTGCCGACCCCGGGTACCCGGGTTCGGGAGTCCAGGTGGGGCCGGGTACCCGGTTATCCGCGTCGGGGACTCAATCCGCCGCCAAAAATGACTGCATTAGTTTACTCCTGAGAAACAAAGAACAAAGCAAACCTCGGCTGTTCAGCATGCTTTCAGATTACGTCGGCGGGTATGCATAACCTGTCGGCGTCGGCTTCGACACATCTGTGCGTTTCGCTTGGACGGTTGGCAGATGAGATGACGGGTTGTCTGACCTTGACGTCTCCATGGGAATGCCGGCATGTATAAAATAAAGTGCATACGATTTACAACATCAAGCGATTTCCTGCAACATCAGAAAATTCCAGCAGTACGCAAGAAGAACAATCACACTGAAGACAGTCGGTGAGTGCCCTCCTCCTCCTCTTCCACGGAGTCCTTGTCATTTTGCTTACCAAAACAGCAACCGACCTCGAGAGACTATCAAAGTCCTCTACAACTACCAGCTCCAGAACGCACCCGGAAAATCCATCGTTGGCGTCGAGGTCGAATATCCACCCGACGGCTTCACCCCTCCCCATCACCATTCAGGCGCCACCGTGATTGCGCGCGTCACGGAAGGCACCATACTTAGTGGAATGAACGGGAACCCACCACAGGTCTATAAAGTCGGCGAGAGCTTCATGGAACAGCCGGGATGCCATCACACAGTTGGAGAAAACAACAGTCGAGTGCTGGGTGCTAAGCTGCTCGCGATATTCATCATCGACACTGAGGTTGTGAAGGGCGGGTATGATGCGCTCACTGTTGTTGATAAGGAGTGGCGCTGAGAATGAAAGTTGGTAGATGTTGTACAAGTATCGTCTTCTTTTAAGACTTCCAATTGTCTCCCGCCTAAGCTATGTTTCCGAACGGACCCATGACCACCTGCTCAGATGTAACTCGTTGCCTGCCCTTCGCCATACTTCCTTGCGAATCATTCAGCTGTCCTGGGTGGAACACAGCGAACGCAACCATGACCGAGAACATCAGAAAAGAGTCAAAGATGTACATCATCGCCTCGTGCTGATTCACAAACCCGTACCAGCCTTGCCCAAACTCCGCCGCGCGCACCAAATTCCGCACCCAAACAGCCACCACAGAGATCACCAGCGTCCACAGATACCGCCTCCAATGCTCCACGTAAATCACCTCCCTCTGCGTCGCCCTCTGGAACCTCACAACGAGCGCAAAGTACACCACCAGCACAAAAAGTTGGAACAGCAGCCCGCCCAGCACCACGTGCCCGCCAATCTCCATGATCTTCGGGTTCGCGATGACTTGGACGAGGGAGCCCCGATCTGCGTGCAGAAGGCGACGATGTCTGTGAGGATGAAGATGCTCGTCGGGCTGCATTTGCGTCGCGGGTGGCCGAGGAGGGATTCTTTGAGGCGGCCGAGGGTGATGTAGATTGTGGCGGAGATGAAGACCGGGGCGACGAGGATGAGCATGAGTTGGAGCATGAAGGGTTTGGGGGAGAGGGGGGCGGAGCCGGCCCAGGCGCGGCCTAGGTGTCCGAAGGTGTCGCCTGTTGCGCTTTGTGTTAGACTCAGTTTCTCCAAAGCTAGATCGTTGATCTGGAGAATTCTGGACTTACATATGCCTCCCAGTACCATTGGGATGAAGTATTTGGTCTTGAACTTTCGTATCAGGAAGATGTGGTATAAAGAGATGCCAGCAAACAAGAACAGAAATATGATGCCCGCGGCTTTGGATGGTGTGTATGGATAGAAGAGGACCTTTCCGTCCTCGAAATGGACAAGACCCATGGCTTATCGTTGGTGCTTCTCGAATGATTACTGGACCAGGAAGAAGGCGTAAAGACTAGAAGCAAACTGTTGCGCGGGCTGGAGTTGGGATGACAGTACAAGTTATTGCTTTCGAAGTACAGACATTCCAAGAATGAAGCCTTTGAAATGTCACTGCCAAGTTCTTAAATACACAATAGGGGTCTCTGCGGCGTTGTCAGAAGCAATTCGCGCTCTGCTCCCGACCAATCGCTGATTTTTCGCATTCTCGTATTGTGTGACTGCCCCACAATGCTCCGCCTCCGGCCTCAAACGGGGCCTCAGGAGCCTCGATGAATGGTGGTGATTTCCCCACAACTGAAAAGAATTATTTGAGGAAGGATAACAATTGCTACTCGGTCAGGTATCGTATGGTTGTGTTGTTCTCACGGGCCCTTCCGTCCTGGACGTCCATGTCATGAGCGTTTTCTTTGCTTTTGTTACTCGCTGAACCAAAGTCTGTTCAAGTAAGTTAAGCCCGGGGCGCTTGAGACGACAGTCACCGTCCGAATCAATGACGGTACCCGTGTATTGATAATGTACGTTCTGAATATTGTAATTAACCAATGTAGTTTCCCTCCCGCGTTGCTTACCTGTCAGTGGGCATAGGTTGGGTGAAGGTCCTTGTGGAATGCGTCACGAATACGAGCGAACTGGGAGAGGTGGTCGCAGTCATTTTGCGAAAGCGCTGCACATTAACTTCGAAATTATGTCGTTCGGTAATTGTAGTGGCTATATCCAGGACGGACTCATCCAGATATCGAGTCCAGAGTCTGCGTCTGATCGCCGTCTTTCGGTAGCTGCCAACTCAGACCATCAACCTCCCCACCATCGTCCTAACATGGATCTCGAACGTCCGGAGCTAGCGGATGTCAGGTGAGCTCCCGCGAACCCATTGGTAAAGGTGCAGCCCCGCAAAAGCTCGAGAAGCTTAATCCCAAGCTCTATGATGACCACAACATGAATGGCCAGGACTACCGTCGCAGATAAGAAAAGTTTCAATCGAGAGGGTGTGAATGCCAAATAGGGGACCTGTGAACGGGTGCCGAGAGCGAGCCAAGGTGAGTAGCGTGAACTAGTTGCTGAACGAGGCAGGTTTTTGCGGGAGGGGTTCAGTCGTGGCAGCAGAATTCCATGTTAAGTTGAAAAACGTCGTTATCTACAACTCGATCATCCAGCTCATCGTGTTTCCACGTTTCTGATAATAGCGACGCCAAGCCGTAGGTTCCATGCAAACAGATAAGAAATCTCGTTGTTACCACTGATGGATGCCCTCTCCGTCTCATCTCATCGAATCTAGGATTGGAGCCGAAATGCACGTGGCTCGCTCTGAACCTTAACCAGCTAATGAAACGCACGGAGGTGGGAAACAAGCAGTCTACGGGCTGCGGGACAATCAGACCCGGTGTAAATAAACACTCCCAAAGTCCAGATGAAACCGGACGCGAGAAAAGCTTCCAGTTGTACTCTCAACGATGCCTGGAAATGGTGAGCTTTCATGCAGGACATGGATGGATCGGGGGAGTAGTTCATTAGTCGTCTGAGGAGCGATGAACGCCCCGTTGGAAGATAAATTGTCAAGGTGTTCCAAACCCAATGCCTCTATGTTCTTCGCACGTGTGAACGTTTGGGTGAACAGCTATTCCAACATCATTGTTGACATTCTACTGTGACAATCCGTCCATTCTATCACCATGAAGTCCACACTGGTACTTGTCACTGCTGTCCTGGGCTTGGTCCAGGGCCTGCCGCAGCAACAACCCGGTGGCGAAACGCCAATGGACAAGGCGAAGAAAGTTCCACAAGGCATAACGAAGGCAAAGGATGGCTCAGTAATTCTTGACACCACCGAGAAGGTGAAGTGAGTATTGTTGTGATGTTGTTTAAATGCGACTGAGAGACACTGACAAAAGTCATAGCGGCCTTGACATTCGCTTCCGCATCAGTGGTCCAGCTGCGCAGTTCACAAAGACGAGCAAGGTGCCCGATGGTAACAAGGAAGAAAACGCCAAGGGAGAACTCGGCTTGCACGTCTTGCTCCACGGAGATAGTGGCTCATCCTTCTTCGACATGCCGAACCAGGGTGTCAAGGACAACTTGGCGGGTGTTACGGTTCTCGCCCCCGATCAGAACCTCCATTGGGGTGGCGGCAAGGGCTTCAACCGAACTGATGGCGTGGCCCACGCCCAAGCTGTCAATGACCTTGTTATGAAGACACTTCCAAAGTACATGGCATTCAACTCATCTAACGTGTACTTCACTGGTATCTCGGGTGGCTCCCTCATGCTCAGCGGATACTTCATTCCGGCGCACATGGGCAACTTCGCTGGCGACGGTCACGGAGTTATGTTGGGCTGCGGCGCTATGGAGCCTAGGGTGACAGTTGAGGCCTCGGCCCGCGACGCCATGACGAAGACGCGAATCCACTACCAGACTTCGCAGAAGGAGCTGGACCGCCTGCAAAAGTCTATTCCGATGGCGATGAAGGCATACGAGGGCATTGCTTCAGAGAAGGGGCTGAAGCAGGAGGACATCAACAAGCTCCAGACGGCGAACAACAAACCTGACGGAGGACACTGCCAGTTTGATGGGATGGGCTTTGGATCTGGAATTCAACTGGTTGTTGATCACTACACTGCGGTCATGAAGAAGGGTGGCAGTGGGGAGATCCCGGGGATTGGTAACGTGAATCAGGGTGTTTCGGGCCAAGAGTTGAAGTTCAAAAGCGGCAACTGAGGAGAGCAATATGAGTCGTGCGAAGTTATTGGCGAATTTGCTTTGGGCTTGGTTTATGTACATATGCTACTGTGATCGTGATATGGAGCACGAGTCAGAATGACTGAAGCGTTTGCACCCTATTTCGCATTTGAGCGGCCGATATCAATATGAGGACTTCCAAACGCCAGAGGCCTTTTATACAATGCGTGGGTTTCAATCAAAGTCAGTAATGAGGAGTAACGGAGCCAACCTAAAAGCGTAAAAGCAAGGTAATACAGTATGATTGCTGAGGTTCATGGAGGCAACCACTGATGGCATTAGAGCAGTCGTTGGCGTCTCTGAAAGGTACCATTTGTACGTCCAGTGTCATTAACGTTAGACTCATATTCCTCTTTACCTTCAATGTTAGCTTAAAGTTGAAAATAGATCCAAAGAAACACCAAGCAAATTCGTAAGCTCCAAAACTACTTGATTGTGACCTCTGCCATTGATGTCCAGCTCAAACCAAACTTCTGCATTTCAACTCTGAGTCTCAACTGGTCCCGGATTTGTGGATCCAACCGGTCCTTGATTGGTGGAATCCAGAACATAGATGGGTCAGGGAATATCCAAGAGGTTTCGGGCGTTTCTCTCATGATCCGGTCCCGAAAGTTGTGGCGGTCTCTCATATTTTTCCAACTCCAGGCTTCGCTGTCTGCTAGTAGCTCAACTGCATTGCCTGAGTGACCAAACAGCAGCAATGGCCCCCACACAGCTTGAAACCTTTGGTGTAGCTTTAGTACGTATACAATACCGCGATTGGTATCCCATATAGTCTCATCAAGACCTGTGCCCCTTCGAAAGTTGTTCCAGGCAGAATGCCACTTATTGCGATCGGGACATTTGGAGCCATCGGATAGTTCATGATTCTCGATGAGATGACTTTTAGGCTCGTCAACTCCAACGCCCATAATCAGACCATCCGTTATTTCTGCCCATTTCTCGAGGTTGAGGTGAGTCGAATCCATATCCCAGCCATTCCGGGGGGTCGGCAACGTCCTATCACGGAGGTTGATAGAAAGCAGTTCGTCAATGTTATGCGGCAGTATCGACCACAGCAGTGGCTACGGATTTGGGGTTTTTGATAGCGGCTTGAGTTGTCTTAGAAGGAGAATAATGTCTTCCTTTCTCTTCCGCGGTCGTGGTGGCGGTGCTTTCCAATACCGAGATGACATGTTCAAGGAGCGGGGGCTCTTCTAGAACATGATCCCATTTGCGCTTCCAAACCTGCCACTTACGCCATAGATGGTGTTCTCGGCCCAGAAGCAGACTAAAGAGTTGAAGTGCGAGTTTGGCGACAGCTGTCTCATCATTGATTTCATCCGAGGTTCGATAAACCTTGGAGTTGCGACCCTGGGAAATGACTGTCTCAAGTACAGATCTGACGCGTTTGACCACTCTTAAGTCTATCGGTATTAGAGTGAGTCTATCCGCCAGGTTGCGTGGAGGACTGTGCGACCAAGTGAAAGCAAGGTCACAAACACACACCAGTGTGTGCATGTTGCATGACGAATCAGGTCTCAAGATAGCGTAGCCCTCCACACTGTGGAGCCAGTACAGCTCGTCGTGTTCCGAAATGAAATCAGAGCATACCCTCCAGGGCGTCGGGCTGTTTTCGAGCTTTTGAATGAAAAGCAGGGGAGAGACGACGGGTGGGTGGCTCTTATCAATGGGCTGTGACTTGAGAGCAGGCGCTATTACTACAACGCCATGGCTGTAGCGCATATAATCTAAATCAAAGGCCTGGTGGATGTTGCAAAGCCTGCTTGCCACCAACTTCAGGTGAGAATGCCTTGAGGTTATTTGAATGTCCTTCTTCTGGCTCTCGAAGATAATTGGTGGGGGCCGAAAACCAGTTTTAGTCTCCGAGATTACTGGTCGATTAGCCATGAGATCCATCTCAACAAAGAGATCATCCACAATGAAAAGCTCCTGGTTGAGTCGATGTGAGTTTCTCATGAATTTATCGCAGAGATCCTTACGAATTCCAGCGCTTTTGACTGACGTCTCAATGTCAGGAACCCATGAGGGAAGATGTTTGGCTTCGTTCTGCTTTTGTCCAGCGAGCATCAAAATCGGCCATCCAAGTTCACATACTTGAATAAAGTAGGATGCAACGCCGATAGCAACTTCATCAAGCGACAGGCTATAGTCAGGGAGAACTCGAGCCCCCGACCAGTCGGATGGTATTCCCAACAGGGCAAAGACCTTATCACGAGGATCTTGACAAGCGCAATGGTTTGTTTCAATCATCAGTGAAAAAAGGTCGGACTTTGAACCCAAGGGCGTTTTCGCCCTCCTAACCGCCCATGCATCCAAAGGCAGTAAGTCGATGATCTTGGAGAAGGGCAATGAACTGGAGACTGCTCCGCAGAAAATCACAATGGATTTACTGAGCATAATCTCCTGCACCACCCACAGTCTTTTGAAGTATGGCCTCTGAAAGAGCTGAGAAATAGCGTCTTGACACATCTGGCACATGACACCTCCGTTTGAGTGACGACAGCCATTAGTTGACAGCGAGCGGGACATAGTCTCGAGAGCTGTATTGCTGGAGTTGCTGGCCAACCCCAAGTATACGAGGACTTCAGCGGCACTCGAGTAGATTTCGGGCATAAGAGCAACCTGAGAAGTCCGCTCCATCACATCAGTCTGATTGACGCACACTGCATCAATCCAAAGAGTGCGGTGCTTGAGCCTGTTGTGATGGAACCTAACGCTGCAGAGAGCATCTGCGCAATTTTGCGTGATTGGTACAGCGTCCCAGAATGGTCCAATATATACGGCTCTGCATTTCTTCGAGTTTCCTGAGGCGTCAGCCCAAGTGTAAGACAACGCCTCGTAGTGTGGAGGGTCCGAGCCTAGCTGGACGACTCCGAAGTTTCCCCGGAGGATGTCATCGCGTTCACCTGGAGCGATATCGAGGACCCGAATGCTTCGAGGAGGAAGAACTGGATGGCAACCGCGAGGTTTGGTTGACCGGGAGGCCTGGCGATAGCTACTTTCGTCGGCACTAATAAAAAGATCTTAGAACAGTCCTGTTGGGCTGATGTGAAGGCCCCAATTGCGAGTTATTTACCCTTTATCACAAGACAGGCCATCAGGATGAAAGTTTTCGATTCCAAGACCGTGGCCCCCCTGTCGCTCATCATCCTGGCTCCATATGACACCCGCCGGCCACGCCAAACGCCTACGTTGCCAACTTGCCCTTGTTGGAGGGCTAGGAGGGCGGAGGTCGTCGGGAAATTCGATATCATCGGTCGATGCTACGGCGTCACAGGTCTGGCAATAAGGAAGACCACCCACAATCCTGATAGAGGGCCTGGAGCACCTCGACTCATGCCACCTGAACATGTTCTTCCGGGCGTATCTCGAATGCGGTCGATGTCCGAACGCTATTTGAGGACAACGGAAAAAATATCAGAAAATGTGAATTTAGCAAAAAAAGGGTGAAAAGAAAGAAGGCCTAGAAAGATGTAGGTCTTGGATGCTGCAGGGTACATATATGCGGGCTTCCAAAGGTGCGTACGACGCCGGTGGCTTAGAAAAGCCACAGACTGTGTCTCACAAAGTTGCATGGAATTTCAAAGGGCGGTGACTATGTATGTACTCAGGAATAAGCAAGCGGCAGTGAGACTGCATTCTAGCCGTTAGGCTGCCTCTCCCTAACTCTTGAGGCTTGTATGCAAGGCAGGTCAGATGTCAGAACTTGATTCTATTTAAAGGAATGCCACTATACTTCTGAGCAAATTTGCTTAGGCGATAAACGGCATCTCAATACCCCTCAGTCTCTTGGTCTCGGCAGCAACATCCGTGTCCAACACAGCCACACTCAACTCGGGAAGAGTGAAGTTGAAGGCACCATCCTCGTTGGCGGTCAAGACCAAAGTCTGGGTATCGACAATGTTCACGCCAGTGTGAGGGTCGTTGTAAGCGAACGGGTCCCCGCTGGGGTTGGTCAACAGAGTCAGAGAAGCCTTGGTGCCAGCCTCAACACCCTCAAACTTGACGGTGACGGGCACATCCTCACTATTGGTAGTGTTGTAGGCAGCGCCCTTCCAGATGAAGTTACCCTTCGCCTCGTTCTTGCCAGCGACGTAGTACACGGGGCCAAAGTCGGCAGAAGCCTCGAGGGTGTGCGAGAGAGGGTGGCCGGCGAACATCTCCCAGACGTACCAGCTGGTGGAGCGGGTCGTCAGCTTGGGGTCGGCCGCGAACTGGACGATGGTGACGGCCCACTGCCAGCGGTTCATGTTGCGGAGAACGGGGGCGTAGAAGGTTCCCGGAACGCGGTCGGCGTTGCGCTCGTAGCCGATGAGAGAGACGGCCTCGCCGACGGTGCCAATCCACCAGGGGAAGGGCATCAGGTCGCCGTCCCAGCCGGTGCCGCCGTTGGGATGGGTGGCGGCGACTTCACCGACGATGTGGCCAATGTCGTTGTCGAAGCGGTCGAACTCCTCGACAAGGGCATCAGGGGTGCGGTAGGGGTGGTAGTCACCGATGCCAGGGGCGGGAATATCGAAGCCATCGCCGTCGGTAGTGGCGCCGGAGGAGATCACAGTAATGTCGGGGTACTTGGCCTTGATGGCCTCCATGAACATGGGGAAGCGGTACTCCTTGTACGAGGTCCAACCACCGGGGTAGCCAGCGAGCCAGTCCTCGTTGCCGATCTCGACCATCTGCAGGTCGAACGGCTCGGGGTGTCCGAGCTCAGCGCGCTTGGCTCCCCAGGTAGAGTCAACGGGCCCGCGGATGAACTCGATCTGGTTGAGGGCATCGTCAATGAAGGGCTGGAGATCCTCCTTGGGAGTAACATCGCCGTTGAGAGCAAGGCCGGCCCAAACGCCGATGACAACAGTCAGACCCATGTCCTCAGCCCACTCGAGGTACTCCATGAGACCCAGGCCGTGAGTCTGCTGGTAGTTCCAGACACCTTGGAAACCAGGACGGTCCTTGAGAGGGCCAAGAGTGTCCTTCCAGTCCCAGTAGGTCTTGTTGTCAATACCCTCGAGCATGTTTCCGCCAGGGAAGCGGAGCAGACTGGGGTGGAGCTCAGCAAGAGACTCAGCAATGTCAACGCGAAGGCCGTTCTTGCGGTCCTTGTACGTGGGGGGGAACAAGCTGATCAGGTTGAAGTCCAGCGAGCCGTCGGCAGCGCCCGCGGGGTCAAAGGTGATGGCGAAGGTGTTGTTGCTATTGGGAGCATCCTTGCTGGGGGTGAGCTCGACAGCATGCTCAACCCATTCCTCGGCCGTGGATTTGGACTCGATCTCGACAGAGCCGAAGACGTCGTCGTTGAGGGCCGACTTGAGAGAGGCGGTGAAGACACCATCGTAGGCACCCTTCACCCAGAAGGAGCCGGTATACTTCTGTTGTCTGACGTCCATGCCCCAGTAGCCATCGTTCTCGAGACCGATCGAGCCGGAGCCGTTGCCGCCGGCGACGTTGACGGAGACGGGGAGAGCGGCGGAGAGGGGCTCGCTCAAGTTCTTCAGGGTGAGGACAGCGCCGTTGATAGAATGCCAACCGTCCAGGGAGACAGGGAATCTATCGCTGTACTGGAAAGCGCGGTTGCGGACCAACTCGGCGTAGATACCGCCATCGCCTGAGTTATTGATATCCTAGGAAATACTCAGTAAGCTACGTGTATGAGTGAGGTAGCAGGAAACAGGGTACAAACCTCGTGAAGGAATCCATACTGGTGACCACTAGTAGCGTTGCCGCCGGTGGCCTTGACGGTGATGTCGACAGCAGCAGCCGAAACGGCGTAGGTAGCGGCCAGAATGGCCGACTTCAGCGACACCATTTTGCTTCCCGATTGCTTGCGATTGAGGGTGCAATGACGCGAAGGTGTCAAACCAGGCCCAAGGCGATTTTCCGCTGTCAGGGACAGGCGATGGTTTTATACCAGCGTCGACCACGGTGACCAACAATGAGCTCATCCCCCGCTCGAATCAACCGGCCTCACAATGAATACCCGTTGAACTGTCACATTGAATGCGACCTGCAGACCCAAGCATCTGGGGCCGAGAGACGCGAGGGCGCTCATTTCGCGAGCATGTCGGCTCACTTGGAAGATGTTCACCCCGCATCTCTCTGACCCATGTCACTCTCCGCAACTGTTTGTCAGCCCAGACGGGAGAAACAATATCGTGAGCGTCGCATGTCGGTGGCTTCAGTCCCGAGATGGAGAGCTCAAGGAAAGCTTGGCATTGCGGAGTGCGCGGTCGGCTCGGTTGACCTTTCGCGTGCTCACGAACAAGCAGCAGGGGTCCGGCCGGTAGAGACGTCGGGATTGGATGGAGGAAAAGCTCACACAGAGAAATACTGTTACATCGGCCGGGCGAAGTGGTGATGTCGAAGCTCGGTCGCGTCAACAAAGGCGGACTTTTGGTCCCAATTTCTTCCTGTCAATGTGGGGAAAGCTGGAGAAACCAGGAACAGCTCAGATGAGGAGACGGAAAATGAGGGGAAGTTGGAGAAACCAAGGGAGCATCCGGGTTTGAAGCCGGGATATCCCCCGGATCCACTGCGTCACTACCGGATTCCGAGGGGCGGATAGAGAGCTCTCATTCGAGCGCATCGAGGAAGAATATCGGGTCATCTTCAGTTTGCCGCCAAAGACCCGTGGGGACTCTGCCCATGTGCGCATCCAACCTTACCTGTTCCTTGCGTTGAATAGAACAGCACGGCAGGCATCGCGGCTGGCTGATGGCTCATTCTGCTCGCTCTCGACATCACGACCCATGTATCAACCCCGCAGCGGATGAATAGCGTTGAAATCGGGTTGGGCCGCTTCGATTTGATCAGCGATAGAGCTCTTGGCCAGCCACATGCCGAACGGTCTGCGCCGCGAGAAGTTCGCGTTGATGCAAGGGCCAGTGGATTGAATGTTGCTCGCTGAAGCTTGGCTTCTGACATCATTGGATGTCGTATAGCAGGCTCTTTGTCACAGGCCCGCTTCTAAATGGACCTGCATGCAATTTGATGTGTCGTCGCAAGTCCTTTTAGTCACGTTTCTCGGGTCGTGCCGGAACAAATGGCACCTTTATGAGTTGGGGGAAGAAAGTCGAATAATGTAGGAAATCGTTATTTCTATTCTGGTATCATCAATATTGCTCTCTTCCTGGCCGTCTAGGTATACAGCGAAATCTTGTTGATTCATCTGCTCAACTGCTGCCGATAGACGTTCAACTCAATGACCGACCACACCCGCGCAATCTTGCCTTCATGCAACTGGTATATGATGTTCTCATGAAACTTGACCGAATTCCCATTGGGCTTCGCTCCTCCCCATTCACGGACTGGGGTCCCAGTGAACTCCAGCCGTGCCGCGATCTGCTGCGTCTCCTTATCGACGAGTAACTCCTCGATATGAAAGTGCAGGTTTTGAATAGCGTCCTGGCTATCGCTGATGAGTGGAATGTACTCAGTAATTGTCAGCCTACGGCTGTTATGTTCCAGCTCAGGGTGACAAAAGCGTTCAAAGTCACGCTCCATCGTCTTCTCGTTGATGCTGGTGATGTAAGCCTTGTACAGCTCTTTCAAATCGAGTTCATCGTGTCTAGAAGAGAGGTCTCCGATAATTGTTGGGGCTCTAGGGACTGCAGAATGTTGTGACTCGAAGCCGGCTTCGCCTCGAAGAGATTGCCATCTTGCCAAACGATTGTCGACGAACCATGCGAAGATTATCTCTTGAAACTCGGGCGCGGAATCGGGTGAGTCGGCACAGTTGATATAGCGCGCAGCAACAGCGTTGCTGCTAGTGTCGACAATGATCGTGTCTAGCTTTCTGTGCAATTTCATGCCTGGCGAGAGGGAATCACTCTCGCAGGCGAAGAATACCGTCGCAGACATGGACTGGCCATTGTAGTCGATAATGGGCTGGACTTTTTGTTCAACTTCATCCCAGTCTTGCTCATCCAGGTGCTGAATGAGCGAGCGGAAGACCGACAGCAAACGTTGAAGTCATGGTGAGCGCGGGGTATGAAAGACAGTGCGGGGCAAGCCGGGTGCAACAACCACCGAGGATAAATCTTGTGCCTCTGGTATAATCGAAGAAAAGCTTATGGTAACTTCTCAGGATGTTTGTGAGATCTTCGCAGACGCTGGGCCAGTCTATACCAATTTCTAGAACATCCCCAGGTAGCATCAGATGACTAAACTTCCTGAGCACCGGGCGGGACATCGGGCGGGGCGCTTCGGTCCCGGTGGGCGGGGAAATGGCCGAGCTATCGTCAATTGGGATGCGGATCATTCTATCGCGGCAGAAATCCTTCAGAAGACTGCGATGGGCCGCTGTAAAAAATGCAGTTAATGATGGGCGCGACTACCTGAATATTACTTGGACCATAGCTCACGACGTTCTTAAAAACCACCAATTCATGGCCAACCTTTGGTGCAGCCCACGTTGGTTAATACCTCTGCTTCTGAGATCGAATGTTGACGGCGAGCTGGGCTTCTTCATGTTTCTACTTACAGGTGCCTATCATAGGTAAGTAGTGATTATCGTCATATCTCTGTCTACTAGAGCGCAAGATCTTCGGCCCGGGGTATCGAGTCTTACCAAACGCCACATGGGTATTCCACCGCCTAAGACAATGTACCATGGGAGGGTCCCTCGATTCGCGATATCATCTGATATCTGAGATGTCCTCATCCTGCCGTCTCTGATCGGATCTCCCAGGAAGGTTCGTGGTAGTCCGAGAAAGAAGTCCAGAGTGCCTGGTCATAAAATGTTGGATATCCCACATTGTTCATCATCGGAAACCTAGCTCAGGTAATTGGAATTCCACTGGCCGGAGATCGTCAACCCATCCTAGACATTCGCTGCGATCTCGAACTCTGATTTTCCACACCGATTTCTAGAGCGACATCACATTTATCAATTCAGCCAGATAGAATACTGTTTCACACAAGTAGAAAACATTCAGCATTAGAGGTAGAATCGATTCATTGTACCAACCCAGCCGCCCCCGTCCACTAACAAGGGTTGTCATCTATGGCGAACCAGTACGCCCCCCCTCCATACTAAACTCCAAATAGGCTTTCCGAATATCCGAATCAAGTAGTAGAAAGTAGACAATAGAAAGTATAAAAAATAGTAATGCTTATTGCTTCAAAGTAGAAATCCCTCCCACTCCCTCACCCCATCACCAGCCCTCAACTCTCAAGGATCCCGCTCCCGGCTTCCCGGCACGACTCGGTTGTCCGACCCCCCACAAGGCCAGGCTCTCGAGAGCCCGACACTTTGGTTTGGGTTCAGTACCTCTCCCGCCTTTTTCTGAAGCATTCGCGAGTGTTTCACCGTTGAAACGGCAGGTCTCTGATGCAACGCTGTTATTTTTTCAAGATCGCTATTTTCCAAACCAAATCTCCATTGCTCAGGAAATCTATAGGCTCAACAACGCAACCGTGAGTGTCGCAATGAGAAGTGCTAGTCTCAGCCCAGAGACAGAAACACCATCCGTAGAAGCCGCGCTCATTGGCATGCCGGTGTTGTTGCGGCTCTGCTTGAAGAACGGATCCAGCATCGTGGTCTTGTTGACGGGGTAGATACTGTTGGCGACGCAGAACTGTGTGGGGTTGTTCCATGTTGCGTCAACGGCGCGCTTCCATGCCACCACGGGTTGGGTGAGCATCTCCTTGGTGTAGAAGATGCGGCAGTTGGCCGGCTCCCACAGGAACTGCAGGGGTGTCTTGGCATCTGACATGGAGAAGGCGTTCTTGCCGTTGACAGCGCCGGCAGACTTGGGGGTGGTGGCACGCTTGATGGCGTAGCCCTTAGCCAATTCTCCGACGTCGCTGTTCATGACCTCTTCCTTCTTATCCTTGGGGGCGAGAGCGAGAATTGCCTTCGCATCGGAGGTGAGGTCGTTGAAGGAGAAGACCTGGGCACCCTCGACACCGGCGATGGACTGCATGATGCCTGACAGAGGACGGCCTCCGATGACAGTGGTCTTGATACCCATTTGAAGGATCATCAAGTAGGAGAAGATGGTGCAGGTTGAGCCGCAGGTTCCATCAGTGAACAGGAGGACGTTCTCGGGAGCAAAGACGCGAGGGGGCGGGTTAACTTTATTACCGACACCAGTCAGGTTGAATGACGGGTCAGTCTGGTTGAGCGGGGCCTCTTGGTAGGCGGTGAAGGTGTCGCCATTCAGGGAGACGGGAGCCAGGATCTGGTCAACCGTCGTGAAAGCCTGCTCATCAGGAGTGAAGACCTGGCCGGGCAGCAGATTGGTAATGACAGCACTGCTGGCGAGGGCCTCAAGGGCACCCTTCTCCTCAGGACTGCTTGGCGTGAAGTTGGCAGGGATGGCGTTTGCCAGACGAGACATCATGTTCATGCTGTCTGAGAGGCGCAAGTTGTTGGCTTGGAAGCGGTCAACCTCCGGGAACAGCTGTGATGGGATGTTAGTAAGATTCACGCTTCTGAGGAGTCTTCGTACGAACCTGGGCGAACAGCTCAAAGCCAGCGACAACGAAACCACCGCCGTTGGCAGCGACGTCAACGACGAGCCTCTTCTTTCCGGCCTTCTTGCTCTCGGCGAGGAACTTGGCGACGGTGTCTTGGAAGTTTGTGAGGTACTCAGTGGCATCGATCGCATCGGGGGGCGCGAAGGATGTTACAGAGAGCACAGCCACGTCTTCATAGCCAGTACCATTAAGGAAGTAGCCAGAGGTGGTGTTGGCACCGCTGTCACGTACAACGGGGTACGGGTAGCCTTCAATGGTCGGCCTAGGCGGAGGTGGCGGCGAACTGGTCTTGGGTGCATCGGGCTTGGTTCCGTTGGCGGGTGTCTTGTTGGCATCCGGGTTGCAAAACTTGTTGTAAAAGTCCTCGCCGTTGTTCACACCGGTGAAGTTGGCTCCAGCACGGATGAGGGCGAAACTGTCCTCGGACTTCTCCTCGCCGTTGTCGTAGGTGATGGTCACCTTTGGGCCCTGGAATGCAAGAGATGCAGCGATGAGAGGAACCGCTTCCTTGAAGGCGTAGGACTTGAAGTTTGCGTTCCACTGAGAGTCAGGGTCCTGGTAACCGCTGAACTTCAGGTTCAGGTCCTCGAGCAAAGTCGCAGCATCGCGGCCGTTGATCCTAATGATGGCGGGAGCTGAGGAGTTGTTGTCGAGTTGTCCTACGAGGATTAGCAGCTGTAAAACGCCGCCTCAGCCGCCTGATGCCAACTTACCCATGTGATATAGTTTTGGCACCTCAACACCATCTCTAGACACTGAAACAATGTCGCTGGCAAGCGTGTTACGGAAGCTGAAGCCCTTGAAAATGTCGCCGCGGAAAGCGAAGTGACCGTCGTGGGCAGAGGCGAAAAGCTGGAAAATCTCAAGCTGGAAATCGTACTCGCTCTTGTAGCCTCCAGCAGCCGCCTTCTCGCCAATCTTTGAAAGACCGCCCTCGATATCGGTAGGCGGCAGCATGTATGACGCGGGGGGGTTCTTGAGCCAGGATAGCGTGCTCTGCCATTGGACGTACGCCTTTAAGCTCTTGATGAGATCCTTGGCCGGTCCAGGCTTGTTCGGGACAGACTGAAGGCAGTCAAAAGCGGTTTGCGCATTAACTTTCGGAGTAGCTGTTGAAATTGTCGGTTAGCTTTCTATTGAAAGAAAAGTCGAATAGCTCAAAGTCTCTTCCTCGCCCACACCTAATCCTTCCTCAAGATCATGACGACACCAAAACCCAACAGAAGACGAGATCACGTACCCTTAGGACTGGCCTGGAGAAATTGTTGAATCTGGGGCTGAATCTGTCCACAGGCACCGCTGCCATTTCCAGCACCGCCGGTAGGGGGCTGTGTCTGCGTTGGCGTCGTGCTCGTCGGGGTCGAGTTCGTCGGAGTCCCAGGCGGGGCTTGTGGGCGCGCCATCGCCGCAGCGGCGTACGCCACCGTCCACCAGATGAATCTCATGTTGTCGGCGACCGGTCTCTATGTTCGTATGCGTATGTACGTTGTGAATCTTTCCTCCCGTCTAAAATGACGAATGTGATGTCTCCGCTTCTTTGTTCTTGTTGGAAATCGAAAAACTTCGAGAAAAGAGGGAGAGTAAAGGAAAGAATAGCACAGCTATCCGCGAGGCCAGCTCAAGAAGTCTCGAGAACGAGACAAATCAACGAGGAAAGGAAAGTATATGGGGCCTTTGACGGACAGTTCGCCGGAAGCCTAGGAAGGGGAAAGACTTCTAAAAGAGCGCTCTGTCATGTGCCCTGACAGCAGTAGATGGGGTTTTAATGACCTGCATTGTCCCTCCCTCATACTTTCCCGTCTGGTTCGAAGCCGACACGGAAGTGTCCAAACTCCAGCCAAAAAACACCATGTCGGACCCGCTCGCTCTCGTTCTTCTTGGCGGCTGTATGGTGTGCTTGCTACGGCCAAGGGGGGGCGTGGTCGTCTGTCGGGCAGCCGATAACCTCAGCTACGGCCAGAGTTGCTTGCTCCCAAATCATGAAGCCATCATGAAACACGACAACCCTCACATCTTCAGATAAGCATCCGCGCATCCTTGGGCGGCGCCGGCTGCAGATTTAAACTCGGACGCTCAGCCGGGAAGACCCCTGTCGCATAAAAAGGCCGCCCTGTCCCCTAGCGTCTTATCCTCCCTCGACTAAACTACCGGCGGGACAGTTTAGGGTGCAGAGACTCATGGCTTGCATTGAGTGCTAGGTAATCGAGGCTGGATGACCCTACACACGGCACTGTCAATAACCTAGCCTCCGCCCCTAGTGCACACTCTGTACAGTGGACTCTGCCCTCTTGGTCTCTTGATCTGGGGACCGAGAGACCCGTCGAAATGGCCTTGGCGGGTGATTGGGTTGATGTTTCGGTGCAATCGGGGGATTGTGTCTGAAGAATGTGATTCTGAAGAGGGCTCATCCCACAACATGTCCCAGACACGATTTATCCCATTGTGATACTTCCGCCGGCTATCTACCGGCTGGGCGAGAGGCCCCAGAGTTAG